GACGACGAGAGAGAGAGAGACGGGCGCGCAGGGGGGGGGGGGTGGGTGGGATGGGGTTAGAGTGCAGCGAAGCCGCGGGCACCGCCAATCCATCACACTATTCAGCTAAACATATTGACAAACACCCGGCGGTTCTTAATTGTCGATACGGAGATCCAAGGAAGAGCATGGCGTTGCCAGGAACCTTCCCAGCGTTTGAAGTTTCAACTCGGTCCACATCGTATGTAGTATGCCATGAAGTTGAACGATATGTTGGCTACATGCACTCAACACTATATGCACTCAACATAACCCGGTCACTATGTTGCCTGCATACATACAACTTATATGACTTAGGTTTTGGAACTTTTCTCTCTCCTTGCATAACCTATCATTCATATATATATATATATATATATATATATATATATATATATATATATATATATATATATATATATATAAGGATTTATTTAGGCATACAATGTTCAAAAGAATTGATGAGACAGTTTGAGATTTCAGCCAACAAATTTAAAATGAAACCCAAACCGCAAATTGCACACGAAAAATAAGAAAAAAAAGGGAAGGAAATAAAATAATTATGGACCCAATGATTGATTGATTGATGGATGGATGGATGGATCAGCTCTTGCAGGCGTACACCAGCAGCGAGAAGCCGTGAGCCCGCTGCAGCTCCACCTCCTCGGCGCTCGCCCACTCCAGCACCGTCGAAGTGCTCGCCGACGACACCGATGAGGTGGAGGAGGACGAGGAGCTCGTCTTCCTCAAGCTGTTCTTCCTCCCCCTCCTCTTGTCGACCCCGCCGCTGCTGGTATCGTTCCAATCACCGTGCCTGTTCTTCCCATTGTACCCCCGCGCCGCAGGACTTTTGCACATGGCATTCCTGAGGTGCCCTTCCTCTTTGCCGATGCCCTTCCCGGAATGTCCCTCGGCTTGCTGCTTCCGCTCCTCCGCCCCCTCGAAGCGGAGGACGAACACGGCGTGCCCCAGCTCTGCCGCTCCGGCGGCGGGTGGGGGAGCCGTCGCGTCATCCTTGGACTGGAAGAACCAGTTGTGAAGGTCCCACGAAACCTGGATCCGACCAACGCCGCCACCGACCTCCACCGTCTCGCTCCCTCGGAACTTCCACCGGAGCCGCCGCACCTGCAGGACTCGCTCGCCGTCGATCCCCACCGACATCGCCACCTCCCTCCCCTTCTCCTTTGCCCCGAGCTCGATCGAGATCTCGCGGTCCCGGCCGCCGAGAGGGGCCCGCGTCAGGTAGGATCTCCGGCCGCCGTGGTCGTCCAACACCACGTGCTCCCGCCTCGAGATCAGAGCCGGGCTGGAGAGCAGGGGCGTCTGGGACCGCTGGGCTTTGGACTTCTTGTAGGCCTCGTCGGCGAGATCCCCAGCGACTAGGAGCATCTCGCCATCGACGGAAACGGAAACGAAGAACCCTGCGGCGGGCTCTGGGCCGCCTCCCGGAGGGAAGCTCGCACGCGCGAGATCCCAAGCGAAGTCCACGCAGCGATGGCGCGGGTGGTCCTTGAGGTGGAACCGCCTCGTCCCCCGCCGCTTCCAGAGCAGCCACGGCCGGATGCGGAACCGCAGAAGCTCCTCCTCCTCTTCCTCCTCTTCATCGTCGCCGGACAGTCGGAGGACGGCGCGGAGGGAGAGGCCGAGGACGGTGCGGGACCAGCTGAGGGCGGCTAGGCCGAGGTGTGTCTCGTAGACCGAGGTCGTCAGGCTGGGCCCTGCCGCCGTCGACGGCGGCGGCCCTCCCGCGGCGCCGCCACGGAAGCACGCCGGGACGGCTTCTGGCATCCTCTCCCTAGTCCTCAGGTTCTAAAACTTCCCAATCAATCCGGACGTGACACGAACCAAAAATCTAGGGTTCGATCCAGAGATCAATATCGATCGAGAGGGAGAGAGAGAGAGAGAAGAGAGAGAGAGAGAGAGAGAGAAGAGGGTAGGGGTTTCGATTCCTAAAAGAAAAGGTGAGAAGAGCGAGAGGGGTCGCAATATAAAACTCGAGAGCGGCGGCGGTGCATTCCCACGGGGGGGTGACCGTAACACTCGATCGAATTCTAATACTTCATTAATGGAGGATTAGCATGTTAATTAGGCGATTAACATTGATGTTTAGGGGGGGAAGTCGATGTGACAGTTGCAATAGTGGGTTCAGATTAGACTAATCGAGAGGCCAATTGGCGGTGTGTGCGTGTTTGATTTGGGTTTGGACATACGGTAATGGTCAAAATTGGGGGTGTTGGACTTCGGAATGGCGTTGACCTCTGTGTGTGGCCTTACACGACCACAGCTCGAATGCTTATCACGATTTGATGTTTGAATCCGAGACCGAGTCCAATGTCTGTAATGTGTTAAACATGCGAAACCAATGTCTGACGTAATGGTAAATTCTTACACATATTAAGCTAATTAATTATAATTATGTTTAATCGTTCCCCTTAGCATTACTTTAGTTGGTGACCGGTAATTCTCTCTCTCTCTCTCTCTCTTTCTCTCTCGCGCGCGCTCGCTCTCTCTACAGACAAAGATTGGGGCAGCAGTCCGCGTCCGAGAAGGGGAGGTCGAAATGGACAATGATTTCCAGCATGGCGCGGCACCAACATGGTCTTCTAAAAGCGTCGCACGATCTCATGAGGACGGGGATTAGATCGTTGCCGATGATCTGTTCGGTAGAATGCCAACGAGAGAGGGAGGAGGAGTTCTGGTACCTCGTCCTGCAGGCGCAGCACAATTCTACAGCTCACGGATCATGTACGTAGCTTCCTCCTCACGGGTTTTAGCTATAGTCACGATTCAAGCGTCATTACATCATAACATGCGTTAATTAATAGGCCTCTGTCGGTGTCATCGCGTCGGATCTTCCAGTGGCGATCTTTGTCGGCGTCGTGGAAGGCGACACGGCACATCGTGAAGGTTTGGGTCTTTTTGGTTCCTCCATTAAGCTGACGACGCTTTGTTGGTAAGCATCCGGTGAGCTCTCTTGGGAGGAGAAGGGAGGGAGGCTCCAGAGGGCGAAGAAATCCCCCCCACCTAATCCAAGAGAGAAGGGGAAGCAGCACACCATGTGAGTGTGGGACGTACGACGGGCCCATGTCTCCCCACAGCTTTGCAGCAACAGCCAACAGAGCTGCTTGTCTTCACGGATGCTGATGGCCATCACCTCATCCGCTAGCTAGCTAGCTAGCTCTGAACTGGCTGTTGCATGCATCCCCAGATTCCCAGGCAGCAGTGGCGGTAGGAGCAGTACTTCGTGGGAGCATTCATCCATTACCGTTCCTCTTTGTGTTTCCATGACTGCGTCCTCCCAGTTGAGGATAGAGGTCGAACACCTTTTTCACCATGACCGGCGTTGCATGGCTGGATTCCTCCATGCGATGGAGTGTGTCATTGGGTCCACACGTTCATCTCTTTTGCGAACGTCCTCTGATCTCCATCCATGACAGAGGGTGCGACAGTGACTACTCCACCATCCACACTGTCTTTAGTAGCTCGGTTTCGGTTCAGGTTGGGTCAGCTTTAGAATCAGAAGGTTTCTATTTCGATTTTGAAGCATGTAATCTTTTTAATTGATTCCATCATTTGGATTTAGTTTCACATGTATGTGTATGTGAGAGGAGATGCTACTTTTTCCTAATAGCCTAAGGAATTGGGATTAAGGATCACCCAATCAAAATCTTTATCTATTGGACTATTAAGTATACCATTATAATAGAAAAAAAGAAGACTTGAATGTGTTGTTTTATCTGCTTCTTCTTCTTCATCTTCATCTTCATCTTCTTCTTGTTGAACATACCAAACTCTGCAACCAATACAATAGATGATTGATGGTTCAGTCATTGATTTCTTTATTTGTAGGAAAAAGAATTGGCCAAATCCAAAAGGTTGGTACATCACAGAGGTGACCAATCCCTCTACTGCAGGGAATCTGAAACGAGCGACATGCAGGACTCTCCCAACTCCAGTATTCCTTTGGCGCATTCATGCACCTGTCAGAGATGTCGTCTAAAAGTCCCAACAACACAAAAACGCTTGTGGAGGAGAGTCATTAAGAAACAAAAGCTAAAGCTTAACTGGTTGTTCTTATTATCTTTGCTTTCTTTATTCGATTTCAAATCTTCTACAGTATCCAAAGGCAACTTTTCGATTCAGATACAGGTGATCCCACTACGTTAAAGCTCAAATCTATTACATACTGCTCCTTTGGGCTTTAAGATGTTATAATTGGGCCTATTTTGACCGTCATGCAGGCCCATTTTGACCGTCATGTAAGCTTATCGGGCCTAATTGGACCGTCATGTAGGCTTATCGGGGCTGGTTCAATTCGCTGGTTCAATTCGGATTATAACCTGGTTCAATTAGAATCGACGAGCTATTAGGCCGGTTCAATTCGGATTATAACCTGGTTCGAACTGAAATGTGGTGAGGGCTAATCGAAACAAAGTTGCTTCTAAGGAGGGCTTGACATCACCCTGAAAGGTTTTCAGGGCTGATTCGGCCTGAGTTATACGGAGGAAACCGTTCCCCCGGAAACCACTGTTTGCGCGGCTGGGCTGGACACACACATGTCACGATATTATGCGTAGAGATGGAAACGACGGATCGATCGCTAACCACCAGACTCCGTCATCCTCCTCCTCCGCCAACGTCTGATTGTAACGACCGTCCGCGAAGAGAGCCGCCGGTTTGAGCGGCGGGCCTCACGACTCGGCGTCTCTCTTCCTCCTCCTCCATCCTATAAGTGGACGCCTCCCCCGTCCTTCTTCTTCACTGCTCATGAAGGAGTAGAACCTGCCTGCGACCTAAAGAGCGAGAGCTCGAGCAAGGAGAGAAGAGGGGCAAAGTGACAGATGTTCATGTCTCTCCTGCCCTGTTCTCATCTCCAATAGATCCAGGAGCTCTAATTCTCCTTCATTAGCAGTGCAATTTTGGAAAATAAAGGGTAATAAAACAAAAAAACACAGAAGATGGCGACCGACTTGGAGCAGATCAAGAATGAGAGCGTCGATCTGGTTACATCCTTACCCACCCTTCTTCTTCTTCCTCTTCCTCTTAGTTACGTTGTATCTTGGAGTGACTCCTGCCTGGTGCTTTTCTTCTTTGATTTGCAGGAGAGCATCCCGGTGGAGGAGGTGTTTGCGCAGCTGAAATGTAGCCGGGAGGGTCTCACCTCTGCCGAAGGGGAGCAGCGGCTCCAGATCTTTGGCCTGAACAAGCTCGAGGAGAAACAGGTTTGTGTCAGTAATCGTTGGTTTGCTAGATTGCGATCTCAGTCATAATCATGTGTGTGTGTGTGTTTTGGGGACTATAACAGGAATGCAAGGTCCTCAAGTTCCTGGGCTTCATGTGGAACCCGCTGTCTTGGGTCATGGAGATCGCCGCCATCATGGCCATCGCCTTGGCTAACGGAGGGGTAAAGCCACTCAGCCATCTCCTCTTCGTCCGCGTATTAGAACATCTCTCCAGCTTGCGTCGCTGATGACGTATTGCATGACTGCGTTTCGCAGGGCGAGCCACCGGACTGGCAAGATTTCGTTGGTATCGTTGTCCTCCTCATCATCAACTCCACCATCAGCTTCATCGAGGAGAACAACGCTGGGAATGCCGCCGCCGCACTCATGGCTGGCCTCGCCCCCAAGACTAAGGTCTCTCTCTCTCTACGCACGTTCTTTCGAGTGCTGTTCGTATAATGCTTGCTTACGCACGTACCCATGGGCGGTTCGATGCAGGTGCTGAGGGATGGCAAGTGGTCGGAGCAGGAGGCAGCGATCCTGGTCCCCGGTGATATCATCAGCATCAAGCTAGGCGACATCGTCCCCGCCGACGCCCGACTCTTGGAAGGTGATCCGCTCAAGATCGACCAGTCCGCCCTCACCGGCGAGTCCCTCCCCGTGACGAAGCACCCCGGCGATGAGGTCTTCTCCGGCTCCACCTGCAAGCAAGGAGAGATCGAGGCCATCGTCATTGCCACCGGAGTGCACACCTTCTTCGGCAAGGCAGCCCACCTCGTCGACAGCACCAACAACGTCGGTCACTTCCAGAAGGTGTTGACGGCCATCGGAAACTTCTGCATCTGCTCGATCGCGGTCGGGATGCTCATCGAGGTCATCGTCATGTACCCGATCCAGCACCGGAGGTACAGGGACGGCATTGACAACCTCCTGGTGCTCCTCATCGGTGGCATTCCCATCGCCATGCCGACCGTGCTGTCGGTCACCATGGCCATCGGATCCCACCGGTTGTCGGAGCAGGGAGCGATCACCAAGAGGATGACCGCCATCGAGGAGATGGCCGGCATGGACGTGCTGTGCAGCGACAAGACCGGAACGCTCACCCTCAACAAGCTCACCGTCGACAAGACCTTGATCGAGGTGATGCACCATGTCTTTCGATGCTCGTGCTTCAAATTACCTTGTGTGACTTCGTCGACCCATAGTAATCGGTCCATGCGCACCGTCTCTTGCAGGTGTTTGTGAGTGGCCTGGACAAGGATTCAGTGGTCCTGTATGCTGCTATGGCTTCCAGGGTCGAGAACCAGGACGCCATCGATGCTTCCATTGTGGGGATGTTAGCTGACCCCAAGGAGGTGCTGAATTGTCGATTTGAATTGATCCAAACCATGTTGATGACATCTGCTGCTTCCCCCTGCCCAGTTCGTGCTCATCTTCATCATCTTTGCGCTTGCAGGCACGTGCAGGGATCCAGGAGGTCCATTTCCTGCCATTCAATCCGGTCGACAAGCGCACCGCAATCACCTACATCGACTCCAATGGCAAGTGGCACCGATCGAGCAAGGGTGCACCCGAGCAGGTAGGACGGTTCTACATATCTTTGATCCTTAATCGACGTCCGCCTTCCATCTTCTCGAGGAAATGCCTAATGCTTTTCTTTGCATCCTTCAGATCATTGATCTCTGCAACATGAAAGACGATGCCAAGAAGAAGGTGCATGCCATGATC